TCGCGCCAGACCACTGCAAATCTTTCTAACACGCTCGTTTCTTATTCAGAAATACAACTGATATCTGTCACGGTGATATTGTGAAATTGGATAATAAACAATCTATACAGTACTAGCTAGCTTTTGCCCGTGACTCCGTTTGCGCGGTATTAAAAATAAATAAGTAGCCTATATGTACTTCCAAACTATGTATATACATCTATCGAAATTTTGTCGTTATCCGATCAGCAGTTTACGGTACAAATTTTAACAAACATCCATTAATTAACTGAGAATACTTTTGAGAATTTTGAAGTTATGTTTAAAAATTTTGATTTTTTGAAACAAAAAATAAGTGTGTTATTTTTAATTAATCATATAGATAAAAATACAATACATCATATGCCTAGTGAGACGATAAATTGGCACAATTCGCAATTTGCCGGTGACATGTATTCCGAATGGCCCATAAACTTGATTTGCCAAGAACTGCGCTCGTGTGGAGACTTATACGAGTTGTTTTTAAATGTTATTTACATTAATAAATTGGATTGTTTTTAGAATTTCATTGTTAAAAAAGGAGAGTTTTATACGCTAAAGAATGTACACCTAAAAGGTGCGAATTCTCGGAACGAGACACGACAAAAACTGCCATTTGCCGTCGTTAATACGTACCTAAGATTTGTCGTGTTATTGAACATTTAATTTCATTCTGTTCTGGAAATAGCTGATAAAAGTCTAATATTCTTATTTAATAAAATTACTATTTTAGAGGGCAACATTGTTCTGTTTAATATCACACATATTACATACTTACTCAGATAAATAGAACATATGAGAATGACAGTGTGTTTAGAGAAACATCTCGCAAACAACGCCCTCGCTGACATTCCCTTTGGGACTTCAGAAAGCCAGCACCTTGAATGTATGTAAATATTTATATACTAGATTAATCAGCCTTTTAAATAATGAGTAAAATTCTATTAATGTCTATGTTGTCGAAACTCAGTTTTTAAAAAAAATAATTCTTGGTCAAAAATCCAGTTATAAAATGCAACTGCTGAACTAGTAAATAATGTTTACACTCCCACGTTACAAGAACTTTAGTTATTAGTGTGAAGGTACACTGGTAGAAATAAGCCTAGAAAGAGATGAGATTGCGTGAAAGGTGATATGAAGTGGCGACTGAGATTAAGGAAGATAGGACCTGTTGCGCCGTCATAGAAGAAAACAGATAATAAAGTTTGTACTATACATTACTATTAATTCTGACCTTGAACTGCACATAAAGTATTCATGTAGACGAGTCGTAAAAGTTGACAAACATTACGTTGTCAAAGAGCGGTGTTATACTCGCAGCATTGACATTGACACGGACCGGCGATGTTTACCCCCGGCGTATGCAGAGCAAACACGTTCCGAACCCCTTAGCCTTGCCTTTTAGTGGTGTAATAGAAAGCCAAGACGGGTTGTTTCGGTCGTCTTGTATACATGTAACATTTATAAATTTTAATGTAAACTTGTACTGACAAAAGACTTGTATTTAAACATATTGTATCTTAATTTATAAAACAACGTGGACGTTGAAATTATTCCTAATGGAGTCCGCTTAATGTGCATTATTGTTGGCGTAATGTCGCAGTGAATCTCTGCCATGAATTCCAAATAGCGATTTTCTATTGACATCCTTGTTGTTTCTAAGGACATTGAAGGGAAAGGCAATATTTTTTTATTATATTACCTTCAATGGAGATTGAAATCTAAGCATGAATTCTCTAAAAATGCAGTAGACGAGTCATGTAAAGTCAGTACAACCATAGGTTATGTAATGACAAAGAGCTAAATGGCAGTACAAAAACGAGAACATCGTCTAATCATTGGTAGGTGGTAATCGACGTGCAATCGCCCCTCGCGCGCCGATGAACCGGAAAATTGTCCGCCCTCTTGTGACGTCATCCCCTCGACAACCCACGCTCAGCCTCAATGGAGCAAGCCTAGTCTTTTGTCCGGTCTTTTGTATGTTGCTCTCTAAAGGTAGTGTGCTTATACTTTTACCGGCTGCAAGGTTGTAACTTTACAGACCTACGATTTTTTTATATAGCCATTTTCCTAAGTCTATTATTATGTAACTTTAATTTCAAACCTAACATCATAGAAAATATTACAGAGAACACTTGGAAAAACAAAATCTAATATAAAATGTGGTTAATCATTCTTCTCCAAATGTTGTCTCATTTGACTTTATTTTACTGTTGTTAGTGTCGTTTAATTTTCTCCTATCTATCTTTCATGGCGGAATTTCTGGAGCGGAATTCAATCTCTGCAAGGGAACTGTCGAAGCGTAAAAATACTGAGGCTTATGTAAATTTCCATCATGTTGCTTCGCTTAGAATTAACTCAGTATATCTTATTACATACAGACAAGACGTACAGTCAGAAAGGGAATACTAAAGGTATTGATATTATAAGAGGACTTATTATGAATAATCGTAACATCGCTTTCGTAACGATCCACATTGTATTAGATATGTGCAGCGCCCATACTGACCGTAACTAACATCTCATATAAATTGTCAATAACGATTACGAATTCTCACAACTGTCTCGCAAATGTTCGTGATAGACCCTCAGGTTTAAATTCTGTGACCATTACTTTGATCAGAAAATAACTAAATTGCTACAAGTATGTATGACAGGTCGAATTACGCAAGGCAGTTGTAAATGGAAAATACATTTTTATCTTTTATTCAAATAAAGTTAATTAATTTTTCAATACACTTCGTAAAAGATAATTAAATATTCAATTTATACTTTGTAAAAAATTCTATCTTGTAACAAGCCGGGAAATTACGTAAAAATGAATCCACGGAATCATAAGAAAGAGGGCGTTATAAAGAATTCAAAGAATCTAATGAGGAATACGGAATATTACTCGTGTAAGAAAAAATATATTTTCTTAAGAAAATTCCGTTTTACGTTGCCGCTGAAATGCCGTTAAAATGTTAATTTAAAAAGAAGTCAGTTTTTATAAGCTGCTTATTTGATGAATAAATTAAAAATAATTTAATTCTCTTCTTATTTAATAACAAGATAATTAAATTAAAAGGTTTATTGGAGCAGAAACTTTTTAGGCTTTGATTAACTTATTTTCAGAGTATCTTAGGATTAAGTTAATATTATTCTTATAAAAAAATAATTATAGATATTGTTTAAGCTGTAAATCGATAGATGGAGTTATTAATTTTTTATATATCGGTGGCATTTTGTTCTGAAATGACACTGAATTGATCTGTATGTGAATGTTCAAATATAGGAGTGCAAGGTATAATCAAGTGTTTCTTTTGTGGTCCCGCTCTCCGTATTAAACAGGTATAATTTAAAAAAACCCAACCAGTTAAGTCATTTGGGATTTGTCTAACGAATAAAGTAATATGAAATTTAAAAAAGTTTTGAGTTTTTAAAAGCCTATATAGTTACTTAAAAGTACAACGAAGAGCTTTTATTTGACATTTAAGACTACGTATATTAGTGAACTTTTTATGCTCTTTCATTTTAAATTCTAAAAAAAACTTAAATGGTTTTAGATAAAGAAAAATTCGGACTTACTTAAGTGATATAGAACTCTCATGAATAACATAGTAGAATATCGAATTTGTCTGAAAAGTTTGGCGTTAAATAATTTTATATTACGTTACAATTTTGGACTTTACAAAAGAAAACTATAGCTTTTTATAAGACAATTCATAATGTACAAACATACGAACCTGACTAAATATATTCATACTAATAATATAAATGCGAAAGTTTAGATGGATGGATGTTAGTTTGTAGACAAAACTGCTGAGCGGATCTGGATGAAATTTGGTATAGATGTAGAGGATAGTTTGGAAGAACACATAAGCTACTTGCTTCTTTAAAATTTCACGCGAACGGAGTCGCGGGCGAAAGCTAGTATCAATAATATGTCTGTTAAAAAGATATTTCCATATTTTTTTTAAAATATTTCTTTTTGATTGTCTTTTACTACGTCCCTTAGTTGGTGAATTGTTTTTAGCTTTTTGTTTTCAAAATTATTTAAAACCGTTATATTAAAGGCGATAACTTATTAATAAGAAAATTACGTAGATACGCTCTATGCAATTAATAAAATGAAATTACATTAAAGTTGAAGCCAAATTCACTTAGCAAATTACTTGGTTGATACATAAAATGTAACTTTATATTACCTGCAGGCGGTTCTTATTTACATTACGTTACGGGGAATGCAGTTTGAGTAAATTACATTAGCCGTATTGTACAAGACTCATCATATTTACCTAGGGATGTCTATTTTCATATTTATTCCGGTTTGTCTTGTTACCGTCAATTTTTTTGTATTATATTTCTAACGCTGGTAACATTTGATTACAAATAATAATTTAAACAAAGAACATATCAAAATAAACTTTTGTAGCAATTTTAAATTGATATTTGAATGCAATGTTGTGACAACCCTGTGGAAAGCCGTTTATATTAACATTTTGCATACTGTGTCCCAGTCCCAGTATAACCCAGGTGGGGCAGTAATAGCGCTCAGGTCTGCAGGGAGTCAGGGGAAATTAAAAAGCTAGCGGACGATGCGATCGATCTATCAGTGTCGGTGTGGACGTTTATGAATTATTTATTATAATATAAATAAATAAGTGCTTCCTTCCTTTACTTACTTTATTTCCTAGAGTATATTATTATCCTCTGTTCGTTATTGACGGATTACGTCGTGGAGGATACCATCATCATTATTTCTTGGAAATCGTGAGGAATTTTGAGAATTTACATATCGATCGGGTTCTTAACTCGCATTTTTGTAGCGAATGATGCCAGCCGTTTAGTGGAAATAAGCACTAAGTTAATGTACCGTTTCTTTATACCATTTTAAGTATTGAAGAATTTTTACCATCTCTAATCTCGCGTGCATGTGTCGATGTAAAGCCAATATTTGCATATTAACATACTGATTTGCGTGTCTGTTTGTTGCAGGGGCTTCGGCAAACAGGGCTTCCAGTGTCAAGGTGAGATATCATAATAATATACAGTAATGGTTACTTAGTTACATCTAAACATTCTAGAGCAACCTTCTCCAAAGGAACTACTCCATCAGATATCTCAGATATTAAAAAATAAGACATCATTTCAACTGTTCTATCAAAAGTAAATTTAAACCTTCGTATTATGGTTAACGATATATGGTGTAGTCGTGGTAAGAATTTTTATATTGTACTAGCTTTCGCCCGCGACTCCGTCCGCGTGAAATTAAAAAAAGTAAGTAGCCTATGTGTTCTTCCAGACTATCCTCTACTTCCATACCAAATTTCATCGAAATCCGTTCAGTCGATTAGGCTACAAACTCTAACAAACATCCATCTATCCATCTAAACTTTCGCATTTATAATATTAGTATAAGTACATATGATTTTATCATAGTAAAGGATTTCAATCAGCCAGATGAATAGACAAAGAGATCGAAATATTTCATTCATTTGGGGAAACACAAAAGTCCCTCTAGGAAATCTCAGGTCAAGGCAAGCAATATGTCTTGACACATCGTATGGAAATCATGTCCTTCATTTATCATGTATGACATTCTCGTTGTTTGTCCTGCAGTATGCAGCTTCGTGGTGCACAAGCGATGTCACGAATACGTCACCTTTACGTGCCCCGGCGCAGACAAGGGAGCCGACTCCGACGTAAGTTTTATTAATTTTAACATATAACAAATGGAACTATTACAATTTAGGTTAAAAGTACAATTTTCATTAAGGAAGTGTCCGCTTTTGAAATCATGCGACTAGATTCTCAGTGGAAATAGAGAGTTAATTGTAATTTATAAGGTAATTCATTAAAAAAAAATTCTTTAGAATTGCTTTAATCTTATTCTTGGATACCAAGTTTCTTATGCTGAAGATATTTATTTAAAAACTTCATAAAATATTTATTAAATTACATTTAATTTACAACGTTCAAGAACTCATTGTTTGTAAAAATGTGAACACTTTGAGTGCTTTCTTTATTCCTTCGGGACTTAAAAGTTGTCCCGCGAAGTTGTGACGTCATCCATTATAGAAACAGGACACAGTAGCGCCATCTACGTATAACTTTAAATTTCCTGCCGCTCCAAAGTTAAAATACAATCCCCTTCCATATTCTTTTGTGTTAAAAGATTTTAGATCTTTTGTTAGACGATTTGTTACATTCTTACAGATATTTTTAAGTTAAAAAATGACTTATAAGCCATTTGAAAAGGAAACAGTAACTATCATCTTTTGATTTCTAAATTCAGTTATTTTTTAATCTGTGTTGCAATCAGATTACTTAATGATTTTTCACACTATGTCAACTAAGGGCCTCCCTTAATCGTCACTTCGTGACATAGCCCATTTTAGTAATCAAAATAAATTCCAATGACCGCGTAAAGTTTTTTTATACAAGGGTAGTATAGATAGAACAATAATGACATTTTGTGAACAAAGACATCGAGAACAGTACTGTTTAATAGTTATACTGCATTGTATACTGATCTGCTTTGCTACATCCCTATTGTGAAATAAGCATTAACTAGCGTATGCCGCTAGCGTGCCTCGATCTATATCGACTGCAATACGGAACCACTCCAACTTAATTAGAATATGTTTTAAAATAGAATACAGTATTGCGGCGACTACAGGGAACAGTAAAACTCGATTTCCTGAGTATATTAATATTAGAATCGATTTTAACTCGCAAAGAACGAATAAGGAACTCCTCCTTTCATATTAGCAAAGCCAGTACTTTATTCTTTTTATTTATTCAAATGTATTTTAATCTTTATTATTATGGTCATTTTTTTAAAATTGGTTCAGTACTTTCTTTTAAATGTTAAAGACAAATCTTTACTCTTAATAAATGTTATTTATCTATGTTAATTAGTACGACTTTCTTTACATTTATATTTATTTATTTATTTCATACATGAAATAATTTATTTTATTTTATCAAACACTTATATCGTATATTAATAAGAATGTTACGTGTATAATGTAGAATGTAAAAGAATAAATAACATAGTAATAATTGATCTAACGCTAAATTGCCTTAAAAATGTCCAGTAAATAAAATGAATCAAGTAACGCGTCTGTCGGTCAAATAGTCTTTGTTATAGTCTCATAAAAACTTTGCATTAATCGCACAGAAGCATTCCGAAATTAAAAATAGCACTCCGTTAATTACAAAATGGCCGCGCGACAAATTAATTGGGGGCAATTGCACCGCGGCAATTACACGCCGCACACAACATTGTACACTGTATAGACTGCATATTACACATTGTACACAAAACAAACTGTATACAGTGTATTGAACAGCCAAGCCAGCCATGGTTAATTTAAAAGTTACACAAAAACGTTATAACTACACATTAACCAACCAACTACTTTATAATTCTTATGTAAATATCATTATATTGGCATGGCAAACGAGCAAGCGGCTTGAATCCGCCGAAATGGCGATGCGACCGCTGCCCATAGACATTCGCAATTGCAGATGCGTTGCCTACCCTTAATCGACAGAGAAGGCGCACATAAAGATGATATATCCCCTTCCCATGCGACTCCTCCGCCGTCAAATCCACTTTTTCTTCCCATCATCTCTAGAAAAGTGGATAGGAAAAAGGACTAAAAGTAAGCCTCCGACACCACACTCATCAGACGAATCGCGGGATTGTTGCCACTACAAGCCTGTTGTCTGTGTAGTTGTGTTAGTACACCTGGCGAGCCTACCTATTCGTGAGAAGATGTTCAACTGGGCTCTACCACTATGCAGATATAAATAGTTTATTATTTTATTCAATCGAATTGTTATGATATTTCTTATATCATACAATATTTTATTCTGTATTCCAAATATCAATTCCATACGTACAAAAGAAAAAGTAATTCTCAATAAATGAACATGGGCTTCGCTAATTACTTCTCAGAAGCGCTTTTGTTCTAATTGAACGTCTAAATCCAGCGGCAGTTCTGAATGCTTCGTAAGTCTACGACGTCTCTATTGTTTGTAAACTAAGCCAGGGAATAAGTTTCGACGCCTTGCAAATCTTATTGTAGATTAATTTTCATTAAGTTTAAATTAAACTTTGGAAGTTGTGTTATCTGCAAGTTTTATTTATTTCTTTAAAGTTGTGGATAGTGTAGAATTTAACTGATTGAAGAAATTGTCCCTTTTTATCACTGAGGACAGCGTGAAAGTTTGCTAAAAGTGTTGGTAATGGTAAATTCAATAATTCTTCTGTGACATAAAAACTTAAAAATGCTTATAGTTGGAAATGTTCATGTCAGCGCTTAGTAAATAATATATTAGTATGGTTTATTAAAAGGACTCAGGTTGGCATATCATTTACAATTCACAAAGTTACTTGAGGTCACTTTGAGAATTTCCCTTTGCATTAAATAAATATTACGTTACAAAGACCAGCTTTACGATTTATGTTAATGTCTTATTTAAATTTGGAATATTTTGACTGGTATTTGTAGATTAAATTTTAAACCTCCGGATTTCGATGTTCAATTTTTTATTAAATTATTATCAGTGCTTGTAGACTTGAGTTAAGAGCGTGGACAATTAAAACTAAACTATGGCACATCTGTTTATTTATTTCTTGTTTATGGCTCTCCCACAGCGGATTGAGCCAGTGTCAAGTGTTTGTGGTTTTATTCTTATTTGGGAGAAACTAACAAAACCCTGCTTATGGAACTGTTTAATCGCTCATTGATATAAGCTTGTATGAAGGTGCGCACACTACTCGATTTTTATTTGTGAATTAACAGTTGAATTGGCTGCAAAACAATCGGCAATCGCATAACAGTTGAGCTATAGTTTAGTCAAAGGTGTACCCGCTCTTAAAGTCTATAATCTGACATAGATATACAAGGGGGATTAAAAAAGTTCTTAGAAGTGCATATATATGAAACCTTTTTGGATCAAGTTCGATATTCAAATTAAAGAGTGTCTATCACACTACATTTATGCACACTGTCACTTGTTTTTGTCAGTTCGTTCGCATGTAATAACTTTTATTGGCAGAAATTGGAAACATTTTTTAATGTTACCTTATTAACCATTTAGCTAATCAAAAACATAATAAAAGCGAGCGTATAATAATGTTTTGTTGAATCTTTCAAACAAAACGAGTTTTTTTATTTCATTTTCGTAATGAAACGAATACCGAGAGAAGGACAACACGGTCTTTGAATATGCCAACGTGAAATTTAATCAGATATCTTATTAACGAAATAGACAATGCTCCGTCGCAGATATTTACAAAGGAACATTTTTAATATAATTGCTTTTTGCTTATAATTTGAATTTCCTCGGACAATAAAAAAAAAACAAGTTTATAGTTCGACTTATCGAAGAACTCTATGAAGAATATAATGCTTCTATTACGTGTTAAACCATTGTTATTATTTTAATTACACATATTTCTTAATCTTGATCTATATTCTATGAGATATTGTATTGTATTAGACAGTAACATCAGTCATCTAGTCTTTGACATGTTACATACGTATGATTATAGGACACACGCACACGTCACAACTTCCGTGCGTGCACGTACTCGTCACCTACGTTCTGCGACCACTGCGGCTCGCTGCTCTACGGCCTTCTACACCAAGGCCTCAAGTGTCAAGGTACACGCGGGGGAGCGAGATGGATATACATTTGTTCTTTCGTCTTTTACAGCTTTGAATAACGCTTCTCTCTATCGCTTTTTCAGCTGCTGTGCTTCGTTCTTTCGCTTTTTAGATTAAGAGCTGTTTTGTCTTTTGATTTGAGTGTACTGCTTTAAATATATTTTTAATAACATATATAGGTCGGGAATACACATGCAAGTAGCATGATATTTGATTTTGTGATAGTTACGTGCAAGTAAGATGTGGGAGGGAATGAAAGGGTTACGTAGCTTGACTTCTCGTCTTAAACAATCTCGTTGACTGGCATGTGTATTTCCGCCTTTATTGAAAACGATTCACGCTTACTAATTTTTTCTCGTGTGTTACATTTTTCATATTAGCTGCTAGGGTTTATAAATGCAATAGTTGCTATTGATGTCAATTTGTTACAAAGGCCGCGTACGCTCCTCACAAATGGAACTCATGGACGTTCCTTGCTCCGACGTTTTGTGACCATTGTGGAACATTGCTCCACGGCCTCGCGCATCAAGGATACAAATGCGAAGGTAAGAAAAGAGTTACATATCAATGCGAGAGATGTAACTCTTTTCGGATGGGTCGAATTAGCTCCCAAGGCAAGAGTAGCAAATGGTTCACGGAAATGACGTCATAATGGTTAAAGACTGTAGTTGAAACCAGATTTTAATAAATCGAAATATTAAAAGTATAGCTAATTAGATGAAAATTGAGTCCCTATGCATGGAACGTCCAATAAATGTGTTAAAAAATCCAGATTTCATCGTAATTGATTTTAATTATTGGTTTCATGAATGCACGCAGTTTTGTATTGAAAAACGCAAATTCATTTTGCATTTGCTATTTTCATTCAATTTCATTTGTTTCTGTTTTAATTTTATTAATTCATTGTTTAAACTAACTTGTTCTATCATTTCGTTTTCTTTTGTTTCCTTCATGCTTTTGTTTTAATATGTCGCTAACTTTCTTGCCTCTTCGCTTATTGTGTTATTGCATGTTCGTGTTATTTTATAAAACGTAGATTAAGGTTCCCTTAAGTACAATATTCAATACTAATATAATCACACTAGTATACTTCCAAAATTTCAATTAATTAAATAAATTACCATAATTAAAAGTAAAGTCAATTACATTTCCATCTTAATTTCTAGTTATGAGTATAAACACAACATGTGGAATAAACAAACCAACAGACATTTCGTTAATTTTATATAAACAGTAGCGCAAATAGAATCTCGTTTGCTTGCATAAAATATAATTAAAATACATATTGCTCTGTAATATGAAATGTCTGCCCTCTAAAAGGAAATTAACAAGATAAATAAGAAATAATATTAAATGAATTAAAAAAAAACAGAAATTGCATTTTCATTTTACGTTTATACAAGAATTGATATCCACTCTTGTAAATAATTAAAAACATATGGAAAACATAAAACACAATGCTCTTAAAGAACTACTAAATTTATAAATTCAATGCATTACACAAGGATTTTAATGTAGAAGCTGTCACTGTTACGACAGTGGAGATCAACGGTTAATAAAATGTGTATACAGCATGCGACATGAACGTGCACAAGCGATGCGAAGAGTCGGTGCCCAACCTCTGCGGCTGCGACCACACGGAGCGCCGCGGCCGCATCCAGCTCTCCGTCTCTTGTCACGGCAACAAGCTTCATGTAGAGGGTGAGTATTCAATAACTTTCACTTAGAACTTTGTACAACAAAGACTGAGACTGTCTGGTTCTTAATTCAGATAGACTTTTCTATGCTACCCTGGTAGTTCTCCTGGTGAATACAATTTGAAGATCGCTTGTTTTTCAAAAACAAATTCGATGTTATCTGTGATTGTTTTACAGTCTTTTGTTTTTTATAATGAGGAATTTAGACAACTTATTTACGTAAAATTTCTCTCCAGTGAAACAGGGTCGCAATTTGATCCCCATGGACCCCAACGGCCTCTCGGACCCCTACTGCAAGCTGAAGCTGATCCCGGACTCGGACAACGTGAAGAAAAAGACAAAGACCATCCGCAGCACCCTCAACCCCGTGTGGAACGAGACCCTCACATTTGACCTCAAGCCCGAGGATAAAGATCGTCGTCTACTCATTGAGGTACACTAAAATTTTAGTTTCAAATAATGGTATAATATTTAATTATGAGTGAGGAAGGGTACACTGGTAGAAGTAGACCTAGAAAGAGATAGATCGATTGCGTGAAAGGTGACATGATAAAATAGAGAGTGATGACTGAGATGACGGATGATAGAATTATTTGGAGGTCGAAAACTAGTTACGCCGAATCTACGGGAGTAGGATAAGGTAGGGGAGATGAATATGATTTCTTCTGGCTACATGAACCATAAGTTAGCTAAGCCAAGATTGAATTTTAACAAGTGTCTGTCTTTTCTAGATATGGGATTGGGATCGTACCTCCCGTAACGACTTTATGGGATCCTTGTCTTTCGGGATCTCGGAGGTGATGAAGTCTCCAGCAGATGGCTGGTTTAAGCTGCTGACGCAGGAGGAGGGCGAATTCTACAACGTGCCCGTGCCGGAGGAGGGCGCTGATCTCGCGCAACTCAAGACCCAGATGAAGGTAAATATAAAATTAGTAAGAAGGTAAATATATAATTCCAAGAACATCATAATGAAGGAACAACAAATACAAACGTATAAACAGTATTTTATTGTTAACAACTTAATGTGGTTTTTGGTTCTTCGAGCAGGATACTTATCGCAGTTTTTGTTGTCAGGCGACTAACGTGGCGGCTCGTCGGCCCCCGCCGCCGCCCGACCGCGAGGTGCCGCACAACATGGCGGCCGCTGACGTCATCCGCGCCTCCGACTTCAACTTCATCATGGTGCTGGGCAAAGGATCCTTCGGCAAGGTGACTTACAATAGGATTTCAACAGTGGTAGAGCCCGCTTTTAACAACTTCGCACGAATGAGCCGGCTCGCCCGGTGTAATACCACGACCACGCAGAAAACAGGCGTGAAGTGGAAGCAAAGTCGCGTTTCGTCTGAGTGTTGTGCCGGAGGCCTAATTTTAATCCCTTTCTCTTTCCACCCTTTTCTTAAGAGGAGAGGATGTAAAGAAAAGTGGATTTGATGGTAGTAAGCTTTAGCCCGCGACGCCGTCCGCGTGGAATTAAAAGTAAAACAAAAACAAGTAGCCTACGTGTTCTTCCAGATTATCTTTTATATGTATGCCAAATTTCATCGAAATCCGTTTAGCAGTTTAGGCTACAAACTCTAACAAACATCCATCCATCCAAACTTTCACATTTATAATATTAGTGAGATTTGATCATAGATTAAAATATATTTTAGAAACTGGTCATACTTGTTCACTAAAAGCATGAAATGTCAGGTGATGCTGGCGGAGCGGCGCGGTACCGACGAGCTGTACGCCATCAAGATCCTGAAGAAGGACATCATCATCCAGGACGATGACGTGGAGTGCACCATGGTGGAGAAGCGGGTGCTGGCCCTCAGCAGCAAGCCGCCCTTCCTCGTGCAGCTGCACTCCTGCTTCCAGACCATGGTAAGAATAGTTCCACATTTTATGTTAGGGAAAAAGCTAGAAATATGTAAGACTAGCTGTTGCCCGCGACTTCGTCCACGGAATATTAAGATAAAAAGTAGCCTATAATATGCCCATCTATGTCCGCTCATTCATCAGTCCGGTCGAAATCGGTCCAGCCGTTTCGGAGATTACTCAAAACAAACGCGGCTTGCGGACAGACAGACAAAAAAAAAGTGATTTTCAGCAACGCAAATACATTATCTGGACATTGTATAATTTGGAATTTTACTTTTGATATTACAAACAGACACTCCGATTTTATTATATGCTCCAGGACCGGTTGTATTTCGTGATGGAGTACGTGAACGGCGGAGACCTCATGTTCCAAATACAGCAGTGCGGCAAATTCAAGGAACCAGTCGCTGTGTAAGTTTCTATTTATTTCAGTAATGTTAGTAATCTTTTAAAATTAAATCCTATCCTTTAAAAAAATTGTAATCTTGATGTATTATTTATTTATTATTATTTTTAATGTCTGTCCAGGTTAAGTCACCCTGTGTTAATACTTATGTGTAAAGGGGCCAGCTGAAAACCAACGCAGTAACGGCATGCGTCCCATTAGCTGAGCTTGCCACCTTTCTTTTTTTTTATTAGCCCTAAGTTTTTGTGTATTTTATGTTTTATGTAGTTTTTTTGTGGCAATAAAAATCCTTTTTATTTATTTACTTTTATCGTTAGACGATCATCACTTTGAATAATTCTTGAAATTCATTAGAAAACCACTTCGTAGAAGACTAACACAGAACTTATGGATTATTTCAGTTTTTACGCGGCGGAAATCGCTATCGGTCTATTCTTCCTTCACTCCCGTGGGATAGTGTATCGAGATCTGAAATTAGACAACGTATTGCTGGATCAGGACGGACACATTAAGATCGCTGACTTCGGCATGTGCAAGGAAGGTATCACCGGTGACAAAACTACCAAGACCTTCTGCGGCACTCCGGATTATATCGCGCCGGAGATCATCTTGTACCAGCCGTATGGGAAGTCGGTTGATTGGTGGGCGTATGGTGTGCTGCTGTACGAGATGCTGGTGGGGCAGCCGCCGTTTGATGGAGAGGATGAGGAGGAACTCTTCGCAGCCATCACGGATAACAGCGTCTCCTACCCGAAGACTTTAAGTAAGGTAAGCAGATTCTACTTGACATATACTTACTGATGGTTTTTTCTTTCAGAAGTTAAGACAGGAAACGACAATTCTCTTTTAAGAAAGGTAGTAAGCTACCTTTTAAATTTGTGGATGTAGTTTTGTGCAGGGGACTGGTTTAAGCTCCATTTCCTTTCCACCCGTTTCTTATCAAGAAAGTGTTGGAATGGAAAGTGGATTTGATGGTAGAGGAGAGGCATAGAAAAGGAAGGAATTATTTTTGTGTGTCTTTTCTTTCGATTAAGGCGTGATCTGATTCGTTTTTAGCAATGGCGGATGCAAGTGGCCGCTGGTCCGCCATTTTATAATATACTAGCTGTTGCTGTGGATTTGAAGTTTATAATAATATAAAACAAGTATTGTACGATCTCTTCGTCCCCGTTATTTTTGTGAATATGCGAGTGTTGCCAGCGTCTCCCGCGCGTACTATAGTATATATAAAAGTGGGTTTTGAACGTTTTCAGGAAGCAAAGGATGCGTGCAAGTCGTTCCTGACGAAGAACCCTCAGAAGCGTTTGGGGTGCGCCGTGCGCGGGGAGGAGGATGTTCGCACTCACGCCTTCTTCCGCCGCATTGACTGGGCGCGGGTGGAGGCGCGCGACGTGCAGCCGCCATTCAAACCTAAGATCGTATGTGTTTTTACACAATTTATATAAATGTAACGTAATTACATACTCAGAGCTAAGGATACCGCTTGTATAGCGCGCTTTAATACTTCAGAATGGCATCGACAGCTGTCATAGTGACGGGACATATAACCAATGATCCAGTGTTGCACCAATCCAGCGCAGTAGTGATTTTCTTTACAGTATACTAGTTGTTTCCGTGCGGCTTCATCCGCATGAAATTATGAAATGTATTTTATTACGAGCTGTTGCCCGCGACTTTGTCCGCCTGGTATTAAAAAACATACAAACTATATAAATTAAAAAAGGTAAGGATCCCTCGGGAACCGGACATTTCTCGGAGATGAAGCTTATCCCATGTGTACTCCGGACTTTGTATTATATCTGTGCCAAATTTCAATAAGATATGTTGGACCGTTGCAGAATGATCGAGTAAACATTAAAAAACTAAATTAATGAATCCCACGGGTACCGTAACTATTCCCGGGATAAAAAGTCCTATAAAAGCCTATGTTTCCTTACAGACTGTGCTCTAAACCTGTGCCAAATTTCATGGAGATCCGTTCAGCCGTTTAGGCTACAAACGCTAACAAACATCCATCCATCCATCCATCCATCTAAACTTTCGCATTTGTAATATTAGTAAGATCAACCATGGTAAACTTGCTTCTTTGAATTTGGCAGATTGTAGTTTAGGTCCTATTCCCACAGGAAGGTTTTTTTTTATCTGCATGCAACTAGTCAGTAGTAGGGGGTCTATGGTTTCCGCATCTCCACGTCAATGCAACTAATTGTCAGCAGTTTTCGAGATTTTCCGTAAGACTGCGGACAGAACGACAATTATATTAGATATAGCTATAAAAATACATTGCACAAATATTTCGATGTTTTCAACACAGAAACACCGCAAGGACGTGTCCAACTTCGATAAGCAGTTCACTCAGGAGAAGACGGAGCTGACGCCGACAGACAAGCTGTTTATGATGAACCTCGACCAGACCGAGTTCATGGGCTTCTCTTTCCTCAACCCTGAGTACGTGCAGCACGTCTGAACGCACACGGTGAGTGACAAGGATGGAGGTATACACAATTGTGTGGGTGAGAGAGAGATATGGACAGTTTCAGTGCGATATAGGATGGAGCTGTGCGAGAATGAGATAGAAAGATATGAAATCGTATGAGTGTGAAAGAGATAGACAGTATACGGAAAAATGCCATTGAAAGACATAGGGTTATTTTTGGTATGAAAAAAATCAATACAATTATGCAATAAACAATATAAATAAACAGTTGGTTTTTTTTTTCAGAATGGAAATTCTTTTCACTCTTGTCTGCGGGCGCGTGTTCGACTGCGACGCGGGCCGCTCTTCATCTGTCGACTGTCTCTTTCACTCACACGGCAGCACCTATATGCTGTTTCACTCATTTCCTATCTAGGTTAATTAGAGACTGTTATTTCGATCTTTGAACTTGGAGAGTTTTCTATGAAGATAAGGCGTTTCAAGGAAAGTTTTAAGGATGCTCGTTTCTTCCATTTTTGTCGTTTTTTAATTATTTATTTGTCATCCATTCAATACGACATAACTTTGTTTTAAGCGTTTCCGGGCAATAATATCGTGTACGTGTCAACGAATTTCTGAAGCAATATTAAAGTAACTTGCTTTGTATTAAATGCTCTCTTAATGTAATGTGTGTTGGAATATATCATATTTATTTTTAATTTCATTTTTATGGCTGCATATTGCCATTATAGGAAAAAAATAATGTTTTTTTTAACTATTTAAATTGTTTAGTTTTTAAGTCGTTTTAGTGACTTTAAAGTGAATATTTTTGTTTAAAATTTTTATTTACAACATGAAACAGGAGTTTGGGGCCACGTGTTAAAGTGTTACCAGTGTTAGTTCTAATTGTCAAAGTGACAGGTGACGCTTTTTAATCTGTGTCAAATGTTGAATGCGCGTATTCGACTGACGTCACTCGTGATATAGTTGTCTCTGTTTAGTCAACAAGTATGAAAGAGATGACAGTATGTTCTGTGGGTTTTTTGTATGGTTTGGTGTCATTTTTATTTTTACAAACATATCAGTGATGTGTCGTGTTGTGTGGATGTTTGTATTTTAATATGGAATTTTTTATTATGTTTTAACTAATTTCTGCCATACTTCAAATTCATTCTTAAAATCGATTGAAAATAAATTATTATATTTTCTATAGTGTATTAAATCAGTAGAATCTCGTTAAAACTTATTCGTATTTAGTTTTTTATAGTTTTTTTTAATGATTAATATGAAAAGAATCTGTATAAATATGCTTTTTATTATATTGCTATATATTTATTTAAGATATTACGTTTATATAGTCTATAATGTTATGTTTTTGTTTTATTTTGCATTTAATCATATTTATTCACTATCGATGTTTTTGTATGAGTGAATAGTATGATAAAATCATATATTTAAGGAGCTTGTGTGTGTGTTTGTATGGGAGGGTATTTACTCAATATTTCGCGTACTGTGGTGTGTTTAAATTCGTTTTTTAATAATTATGCGTAAAATTACTATTGCGTGTCTACTTTTTTTATTGTTTTTTTTTATTTATGTTTTAAGCACACTACAGTACGCATAGCTTTCGTACACTGGTCGTTTACTAAAATAGCCTTATTAAATTAACTTTATAATCTTCTTGATAAAATAATAAATTTAAATATATTGTACTCTTTACTGTATAGATTAAATATAAATGTGAATTAAAAAATGAGAAAGCATTGAATTCTAAATTGAACTGTAATAAAATGACATGTAGCTTTTTTTTAATATATTTAAGCGTCTTGAGAAGCTATTTTATTGGAAATAATACGGAATATATAAAAATCATTGCTTTCAATCAGATTCTTCCGATTTTATAATAGTTTTTTTCTAGTCAATTTTATGGGAAAATTTTAGTGTTGCCATATAAGCAATTGTTTCCAATAAAAAAGCTAAAACATCGACCGCTGCAAGACATTCGCGGGGAAAGATTATAAAGTATTTTTTAATTATATCTAGATATAGTATTAAAGTTAGTGAGCCGGCTAATTTCCTGCTTCTTTCGCTAGAAAATGCTTTTAATATTATTAAATTATTAATAATTAAAAAAAATAATTGCGCATATCCAGCATTGTAAACAGAAAAGCAATAAAATATCTACTTAATAATCTTTTAAGAAACTTTAATAAAAATTTACAAAAATTAACCTAAATTAAAAAATATAATAAACGATCTTATCGCACTTATTTAAACATTTACAAGATTTTACTAAATTTAGACGTAATTTTAAGATGTATTTGGAATTTTCTGAATTTAAACCAATATATAAACACAGCAACAAACAATGAAATGCGTATATGTGTACAGTCAGGTGCATAAATATGCATATATTTTAAAACCTTCAAAAATTGTATACGCCTTCGATTTTAAAAATACTTATCCATGCTAACAATTTATTCATATAAGCAAGCATAAGTACGGATATCTGAATATTTGAACGCTAAAGATATAAAAGTTTCCGAAGCTTTGTAAATATATATTTGTACAGCTGACTGTACCTTACACCAATATTTTTTAATATATAATACTGTAATTTGTAAAGTTATAAATTTTACGTCTGCGTCAAAGCCGTTGATTTAAAAAAATCTTATTCATATAAAAAAAAAGGAAAAAGCAACTGAATTAAATAATACAGTCGACAAAATACAAATTAAACGTCAGAATGTATAGAAATATTAGTAAATTCCATATTTAAATTCTCTTAAAACTATTATTTCCCCGGATATTAAAAAAATCTCGTTTTAAATAATATTTCATTCAAAGATATCAAATTTAGATAATTCTAGGTAATAATAATAATGAGCACTATAACTGTAAACTGTAAACACCAATGTTTTAAAATATTAGATGTAGCAACTATTCATTTTAAATAGTGTTGCTAGTTTCATGCTAAAACTTCACAAGTCTATAAAAAAGACAGAAACACCAAAATAAACGCTGTTAGAGCGAGACAACTGTAAAAGATCTGGTGCGATCGCACTTTAGTTGTTTAGTTTAGTTATTTGTGAGATGTTATAGATATTAAATTCTTGTATATAAATCGGCTCATTTCTCTTGACCACGTTTTTTAACTAATTTATTGAATTTTTATTAGATTATATTGAATGTTTAACTGTTTAATATATAGCTTGCATTTTGTTGCGTTTTACAGAAATAATTTAAAATAATCTAAATGAATAGACGTAATTATCTCATTAAACTTATATTTGCTAGTAAAAAAAAATATTTAATAGTTCATTTACAAACTATAAATAAAATGCTTATAGTTTCTTCAACATCTGTGGAAATTTTTCTGTGTTTATGAGGCAACACTGGAAATTTAAATGGAGGAAAATTACTACTCAAATTAAAATAATTACGAAACCTTAGTTGAATTTTAAAGCAAGAATATTGACGCAAAAATATAAAAACATTCAGGATATGACTTTAAAAGAACAGAGTTTTAAAAATTTGACATCTAAAAATCCAGCCAAAATACCCATCATATCAAGAAATATATAAAAACTAGAATGTTCTTACAATAAATTGTATTAATAGTTTTTATTGTGTTCAGTGAGATATTAGTATTAAAAAAGTTGATATTATTAAGCATAAATTAAAAATATTATCATGCACTAGTTTGCTCTGTATCACTCTCCTTTGAAAGCTTATTTTTCGTAATAAAAAGTATTTCGCTAAGAAACATTTAGCTTAAGCCATTTGTCGTAATAGGCCTAAACTCACTCTTAGAATAAGCCCGTAGTTAATACAGGTTCTAGAATACTTTTTAAATATATAATATCTTTTAATATTTTCCATTGTCGACGTTTCCGCACGCACGTCGCCTGTGCCAAAATTATATTTAAAAATATATTTCCAATGTAGATAATAAAATGCATTGTTTGATGACAGTTACTAGTGATGTGACCGCTAGCCCTGTATCACTAATCAGTATTAATATCGTTTAAGTTTTTTTTTTATTCGACTTTGACGTTTGAGTTTTTTGTAAGAGTACATCACTAGTAACAAAAGATGTATTTTAAACCGACAGTTATTTGACCCGGTGGGCTAAAGTTATTGTAGTATCTCACTAGAGCTGCTAATGATAAAAATAAGTTTAAATAAATTGGCACTTGTTTATTTTGTGAACTAACAATGTTATTTTGAATGTCATATTTTGACCAATGAGAGTGCGGCAACTGCATTAAGGAATGTCGTATTTTGCTAATTTCGAAATTTATTTAAAACCAACATGGATGTATTTAGAAAGAAGTTGGGAATTATTTGCTTACTGGTACCTCTAAATAATAGCAGGTGCTCTCTCAATGTCAAGTGCCATAAGATCCTTGTAGGTCTATATGAAAACCCAGTACTGTAGCTGTATTTTTTTAATATTTTCTGTGCAAAAGAACTAACCGATTAGCGTTTCTCTCATCGGGTCAGATACATTTGTCAGACTATACCTTTGTATAACACAGCACGTTCAATTTTATTTAAAAAAATCACATTCGATTACGCGTCAAATATCGTTGCCAATAATTTGTTAAAATCAATTTTTGAACGCGTTTATAATGGCTTAATCTCGTGATTTGATAATCTTATTTAGCACATTTGTATATTTTTTAGTATTTCTTACACTGTCCTTGTATTTGACAATATATCGAACTTTGGCGCCATCTAGTTAAGAGCAATATAAACTTTACTAATGTAGCAAAAAGCGCGGTCTTCGACTTGTATCTATTCTCACTGTGTAATAACTCTCTGTGATAAAATCGTCTTTTCACGCGTCACTTGACACTGTTCTTAGACGTATTTCTCAAAATATTGAAAATATCTTCACTCTTGTTTTACAAGTATGTGCCAAAATAGTTTTTGAGACAACTTTTATTTTATTTAGATCCCATACTTTATTCGTAGACTTTGTTGCTTAATGATGACAACATCTGTCTGTAATTAACCACTAAAAGTAAAACTGTACCAAAATACGTCTAAAAACTGTGTCACGTAAATAATGTTATTAAAAAAGTGCACTTTTGTAATTGCGTTTAAATGTACCGTTGTCGCCTCTTATTAGATTTAATATTATCAAAAATTTTAACATTTAACTCTGTGAAGGTGACCTGGTGGTGTCTCACGTGACCTGGTTTCACGAGACCTAGTCTTAGTGATCCGGTATCACGACCTGGTCTCAGTGATCCGGTCTCACGAGACCTGGTCTTAGTGAACCGGTATCACTAGACCTGGTCTTAGTGACCCGGTATCACGACCTGGTCTCAGTGATCCGGTCTCACGAGACCTGGTCTTAGTGAACCGGTATCACTAGACCTGGTCTCAGTGATCCGGTCTCACGAGACCTGGTCTTAGTGAACCGGTATCACTAGACCTGGTCTTAGTGAAACGGTCTCACTTTACCTGGTCTTAGTGAACCGGTCTCACTATACCTGGTCTTAGTGAACCGGTATCACGAGACCTAGTCTTAGTGAACCGGTATCACTAGACCTGGTCTTAGGGAACCGGTCTCACTTGACCTGGTCTTAGTGAACCGGTCTCACTAGACCTGGTCTTAGTGACCCGGTATCACGACCTGGTCTCAGTGATCCGGTCTCACGAGACCTGGTCTTAGTGAACCGGTATCACTAGACCTGGTCTCAGTGATCCGGTCTCACGAGACCTGGTCTAAGTGATCCGGTATCATTAGACCTGGTCTTAGTGAGCCGGTCTCACGAGACCTTCCGTGTGATTTTATTATTGTAGTAACAGTATTTCGATTTGTAGTATTAAATTCGTCATTTTTCAAATGTCGTTTCGTCAAATCGTCATTTTTAGGGTTTCGAAGTGTGATTGTCGATGGCCAGACCTCTGGTGAGGTCTATGGTTTGTTAAGGATTTCGAATTGAATGATGGATTGTACTCAATAATATAAATTTCTAAATCATTAGATTCCTCGTGTGTTTTATTTATTTACCTTTACTCAATTATAAACATGATATGCATGTTAAGAAAATCAACATCGAAATATTAAAACAAGCGACGATCTTTAAAGACCGCTACAAACGTTCAGTTTGAACTGAAAAGTTAAACTTTTCAGTCGAAATTGAGCGTATGTCAGCTTTATATAACGTTGGTATTTTATTATAGAATTATTTTCAATATAAAAACAGATACTATTTTGAAAAATATAATAATTATTATTTGATCTCCTTGTCGCCTCGCAGCACTTGGCTGAGCATCTGGTTGCAGAGAGCGGCGTACGGGTTCATTTCCACCACCTGATAGATACAAGAATAGGAATTACTTAATATACTAAGGAATCAAGAATATAAAAATGTTTGCTAAATGAAAATGTTCACTATTTTTTTTTAAGAAATGGTAAAATGAAAGAGAATTTAATACGATAGTTTTAAAAGTGAAAATAAAACTTATCAAACACTAACTAAATAAAAAAGCAATGGACCCTGTTTACAAAGTTTTCAAAAGGTGTCTGGTTTCACTTGTATTCAACATATACATATATACTAATGTTTTAAAAAAGAAACGATTTTTGGTTTTTTAACTGAAATAAATTAAAAAAAAACCGGGCCGATTCTAAACATTCCTACACAATTGAGAGGCTACATTTATTTTGAATAGCAATGGCTATATTTTTTTATTTTCTAATTTCACGTGACAAAGTCGCAAGCTACAGTAGCTTAAGATATTTCCAGTATTCTGTTTACCTGTTTCTTAGCAAAGGAGCTTCCTATAGTAGCGGCTTCTGCGAAGGCCGCGCGGGCTTCCTCCTCCGCACCTCGCTTGCGCAGCAACACGCCGCGTTGACACAGTGCTAACGCACGCGCACGGCTCCGCCTGTCCGCTGTCAATTGTAATGCCCGATCCAAATCCGCCATCGCCTCTGAAATACGAACAGATTAGTGATTCCTAAAACATACGCCGAGCTGGTCTTTTGGCACAATTTTTGAACTAAGTATATCTTTAGAATAATTCCGTGTAATTATTTGTTTTTTGTGGCAATAAATACATATTCTATTCTAAAGTTGTATAGATAACACGATAAAGGCAGAGCGATTACATGTAGAAATGTAATTTTACCAAAACCAAGGAAATTTTGAAAGAGAAACGAACAAAAAAGGTATGAAAATCCGCCTTTACAGACGCAAATTATCGATTTAATTATAGAAAAAAATAATACACGATATTGATATGAATCAAAACAATAGAATACGTCGGTGGCGCGTTGTTAAATCGTTGACTGGGCCAAAATGTACCATCGAAGTTCGATCCGCGTCTTATACCAATGTGTTTATAGTTATCCGACGTTCTTTCCATGATGGAAAACATCTAAATTAAAAGATCTGAAGTCAACTGACTATTATTGAGCCAGCGGTTAACTAGAGCCTAGTGACCTTAATTTAGGCCCTTCTTTGGGGATGTGCGTCAACTGACGCTAACAATAACCCACTAATTTCCTCATGGAAAATTAAGAATCAATAAGTTAAGGAAAATGAAAGCAAAATTGCATTTAAATCGATAAAATACGCTGATCTTTATCCTTGTTCCATTCCAAATCGACATAACAGGTTTTAGTTTGAACAATAAAAAGTTAAATACAAAAATGATTTTTAGTTTCAAATTAATTTTACCCAATGGTCAAGGCTACGGATTAGATATCCTTCGGACGTGAGTTGAAATCACGTCATTCCAATATTGTGAACCGACTCTTGAAGCCTATTTGGTAAATAAAATGTTAGTACCATCGTCTCTCCGCATGAGCCGCAGCAGCTGCGCCCTGTCATTGTACGCGGCGGCCCTCTCTGGCGCAGCTGCTATAGCCTTGTTCATCTCTTCTAGGGCCTCCTCCAGTTTGCCGTCTTCAGCCAACTGCGCACCACGGAAACTCAGCGTCTTTGATTCCAAGTAGTCTGATGTAGTCGGCTCTGGTGACGTTTGAGTTAAAATATTCTTATCAATAAACATGAATACAAATACAAATAATTTATTGGTAAATTAGCTATTTTTTACATGTCAAAATGTTAAAATTGTTTTACAGATATCCAATGGAAAATTAGACTATCATTATGGCAGAAAAAATTCCTTTACACTATACTAAAATAAAATTGGTATGTCCGTGTGAACATAAGATATTTCTTATCATTCATGTCGCAAACATGATGTGTTTATAGAGGTTATTATACTATGAAGCTAAAATTGTAAGATGTCAAACGTAGCCTTTCTAAGACCTCTAATGATCTTAGCCTACCTATAGTAGGTACGCCTATAGTAAGGTGTGGCTGGTCCACTTCGCCCCTATTTCATTTGTCTCTTTGTATCAGGGCCGGATTTGCCCTGCCCTGGACGAAATTTCTACAGCGCCCCCTAACTGCAATACAAACTCATACGAAAAAAATACACTAAAAACAAAACAAAATGCACTAAAAACAAAACAAAATACACCAAAAACAAAATATTCTCAAAAAAACAGTACACTAA